TTTCTACTGATGATACAAAACCACCTTCCTGAATCTTCAAGCCAGCTGTCAGCAACAGATTTGATGACTTCCATGGGCTCTGGATCAGGCCTGATGTCCTCCGGAATCCAACAACTAAACTGTGTATTTACTTCATATCTTTGAGACCAACCATCTCAAAGCAATAATGACTTGTGAATACAGTGTTCTAAGATTACTAAGGACATTTCTTGGTTCTTTAAATGGCATCTTTTAGACCATGATTTAAGTTTGTTTCATAAGATTGTTTCACAACAATCTATACATTAAAATAAACAAACGCAAAAATGAAGTCTTTTAATTGACCAATACATACTCTAAACTGTATGTAGAGGAGTAATGTTTTAAGAGATGTGATTGATAAGGAAAAGAAGTTTATCTTTTAAGAGGTAACCTTTCCCTTTGAGATTTTGAAAAAGGTTGGCATAAGCTGTTTAATACTGTAAGTACCTTGTATAGCAAATAAAGAGCTTAAACTTTTAAGCTTCTTTTCTTCTGCCTTTCATGTTCTAGATAGCACGGCTTTGGACATTAAAAGGAGGCTCACGGAAGCAACACTTGTTTAAAAAATATGAAATTTGTAAATCTACGCTCTGAAAAAAAATCCTCTTGTGCACAGCTTAAGTTCTAAGGAAAATGGGAAAGTATGAATCTATTTCATTTCATGTATGCCAGGCCAGTTAGCACAACAGTCAAATTTATAAATATATAATAATGACTCATAACTCTCTGAAGTGTACGTAACCTCCTTCAACTTGCACAGAGATACATATAAACATACGTAAAAAAGGATTATTGCAAATGGGCACCACTGTGTGGACGCAACCAAAAGTAACTTCTGAAACACTGATCAGTTACTTCATCCATCCAAATAGACATTAACATACCATTTTTCAGTATGCTAACAGCAGCAGTGCATCTATTTGTGGTAGGACAGCACACTGGGAATACCAACAGAAAGCTGGGTCTTTGCCCAGGAACAGATCTCTATTTGTTTGGGCAGGACAATGAAGACTTCCTACAGAACTGTGCTTCCTACGCATTTGCTGAATAATGAATGTATGCTATGACATACCAGATAGTAACAGAAGATCCTACCAGGCTCAAGCAATTTGCAGTAACAGTAGAACTTTGACAAACTCTACTGCAATGGTGATAAACTAATTTTGATGCCTAACACAGAACTTAAAAGCCACTGCAGCTCGTGACTGTACCTAGGCTGTAAGGCAAATGCCTTGCAGGCTACAACACACAGTCCTGGTTCTTGCTGTGTTTGCGCTGTATCTTGAGACACCATCTCAACGAGCGCCATTCACCCACCTGCCCCAAACTCCCCAAAACTCCTCTGATTCTTCCAAAAGGCCCTTGAAACTGTTGATTTAAGTGCATCCTGTAGTCCTAGTCCCCTAAAAACCACTTATCTTACAATCTATACACTGGCACTATCAAAATTCTGCACAAGTAGACACGTAAGTACTTCTGCCAGTGGCTTACCATTCCTGGGTATGTTTTGAAATGTTTCATTTTAGGTCTGTATGCTAAATCCATCAGAATGACTCCCTAAGACCCAGCGCATACAGATTGCTACGCTGAGTTCAGCCATAAGCACTCTACTTGAATTCCACCATTTGTGATGTCAGTTAATTTTCGTATAATTTTTACAGCAAGAAAAAAAGCTATAAATCTACTAAAACAAATGTGGCATCATACTGCCACACATAAGGCTTCAAGCAGGCTGCACTGAGAATAGCCGTGGCTGAATTAATTCAGCTTTGACAATACAAGCCTGTTAGGAAAGAGCGTGAGGGGGAGGAACTGAGGCAGCTCCCTGCAAGAGATTTTCAGTCTCAGGGAACACAGAAGGAAGCTATCTTAAAGTAAGCAGGACTGGGGTACTCTACCCTAGGATGGTACAGTCAAATAGTCTTTGTCTGTGCTTTATGCCAACTTTCCCACATTTTCTCTGCAAAAGAAAAGGACAACGGGAAAAGGCAGCAGTGCGAAAAGGATACTTTTGTAAGTAATCTGCACAATTAATATAACTTTGTCCCACACGCAAACTTTTTTTTAAAAGGATTTGTATATTTTCTCCAACATTAAAAATGGCTGACGGATTTCACACACGAGGTATTTTCTATTCAAAACTGAATTAATCCTGAAATGAGTAAAACCCAACTCCTCAACACATTATTCCAGAGCATCTATCCAGGGTATATATTACTCCAGGGTATTTATCCAGGGTATATATTACTCCAGGTAACAGCGTGCCCCAATACACTATTCCGAGGGTTGTTAATGAAAATGTCTTTTAGTGAAGAAATGTCTTTTTTAGGAAGAAATGTCTTTTAGTGACAAACAACCCTGTACTCCAAGGAGAGGATGAAACAGTGCAAATCTTCCAAAGACTAATAAATAATGACTGAAAGAGCCTCCAGGAAGTGATCTAGTTCGCTATTCTTCTCCAAGGAGATACTAAATACATCCAGCTCATTGCTGAAAGATTGTCTAACCTGTTTTTCAATGCTTGTAAACAGAAGACTCTATAATTTTGTCAGTCAGTAAATTTTACCAATTTTACCGTTTGTTTTCATGCCAGTTCTTGTCCCACCCACCATGGACCTGAAAAACAAGATTACTCTCTTTCACACTGCAGTTTTCTACATATTTGACCATTCCTTTGTATGTACTTCTTCATTGCAAATAACACTAAATTTTTCCAGGTCATATTTCCAGGGAATCTAAGTTATTTTGAACTTATCTTTTCATCAGTGCACTGGCTGTCCTTTCCACTTGGGTGTTACTGGGATCAGGAACAGACTCCTGCCAACATTCTACTCAGTGTAACTCCTCTGTTTTCAACTCTTTCTAGTCATAGTTTTCTAAATAATTTTATGTATTATAGTAATTTCATCAAGTCTTTTTCCCTAGCTTACTTTGCTCACACAAAATGGTATCAAAAGTCTTAAAAAACAAATTAAAACAAAACAAAAAGTTCTTATATATTTGGCTTATTACCCTCTCAAAGAAGGAAATTAAATTGATTTCATCTCCTCTTAACTCACAGGTTATACTGTATTTTGATAAAGATCTAAATAGATAACTGACAGATAGGATCTAACTGAATATGAAAAAAATCTATACTGCTCTGAACAGAGTGCGTTTAAAAGATTTGATTTGCATAAAAGCAGTGACAGGAACTCAGCAATCGATTGTAAACAGTATAGGTGACTAATTCTCTATGGGTGACTAATTGAGTGATGACTATGTTCATGTTGATAACAATCATAGCAATTAACATTTCATTTAACAAGCAGAGCTCTCAGAAATAAAAAAAAATATCAACAGATACTCAGCTATTGGCAGAAGCAGAAGGAAGCATCATGAAAAATAATATGTAAAATTACAGGGTACTTTGAATAGCTCTGTTACTCCGCTTAAGTTTCTGAAACAGTGGGGCAATACCTATGATGAGTTATTAGTCTCCCTCCTTGCTGATCTGTGAAACAGCTTTGCCACAACATCCCACAGAGATCAGCTCGCCAGTTCAGGACAGCGTGAAAACCATGGCATCTGATCACAAAACAGTCTACTGGACCACACCAGCACAATCCGATAAGACAATATTCAAAAAAACTTGTGCCTTCATTTATAGCATCCCACATCTGGTGAGACTCTCTTTTAGGTACTCCTCTTTCCTCATGCAAACAGGATTCTACATCCTTAACACAGACAATGTGTAAGAGTCATTGGCAGAACTTTCCAATATAGAATGCTGGGCTTTCTTTGTAGAAGTCACATTCGTAAAAATATTAAATCTAAAAGTTGGTGACTGTTGCTTATTTTAGTACTCAAAGCCGCTGGTGGTACATTACTGTCTATACTGAGAACATATTTGCATCAGGAGGTTTCCAAAGATCTGCATTTATGAAATAGTTTTATGTTCCCTTAAACTAAATTTGAGATTTTTTTTTCTCCTGGATTTTCTCCCAAGACTATAACATGCTTTCAGGTCAGTAAAATGTTCTAATTACTACTTTTGCAAAGCACTTCTAGTTTAAAGATAACAGATGTAAATCATGCTGCAATTGTTATGCTCTTCCTCACCCCTTCAACTGCAGATTTAAGAAAATCCAATGTTAGCAGTCGAGTTTTATGCCCAAAATGCTGACTTCAGAGTTTAATGTCACACTTAAACATTGATTGCTCATTGTTAAGAAACTGCAGTTCCAACTTGTAAATTATACTGAAATGAGAACTAAATGAGAAAGTAGAGTATGAGAAATGAGAAAGTAGAAACTCACAGCTAGTAACAGTCAACAGCATCACAGCTATGTGATGCCAAGCTCAGGTACGTGTTAGGTGGATCAGGAAAGAAAAAGCTCATTACATCCTTGGAAGCTGATACTTGCATCTTTCCTGCTATGCAAAGATTTTGTTTTTACCCCGATGCTTGCAAGGCTTTTCCTGAGATATTCCTCTACTATCAGCCTGAATCTACTATGATCTTCAGTCTAATGATTTTATGTCACTTGAACTGTAATAAATATAGGTCACAAACTCCAGTATTTACAAACGGTCCGACACGTCTGTGGAGTCAAGAAAAGGAACTTTTAGGTAACATCCACTTCCTATAAAACGCATATGCTTCTTCATTGAGGCTGGCATAAAGCATTAGCCTAGCAACAGTAATCACAACCTCCTTTTCTATTTAGATACCGTAATTATATAACTTGCTACAAAAAAAAATTTGCCTTCATCTCAGATAATAGAGGTCCACGCTTTTTCAGGATCCAAAACAGAAACTTGATCTCCGGTGACAGCTATGGTATTTTTGCTGAAGAAACCACTGGTTTTTAAACTTGGCTGTAAAGTAAAGTAATTCTTTCCTTTTTCGTATCTCAGATTACCAAAAAAGGAAAATATTTATCAAACAGTCATGCATGTGTAAATAAAAGAAGTTAAAATCTCAACTGATACAATACTCGAATTTCCAAAGACCACATCCCACGGAGAGCTGATGGGCTGTTCTTCTCCTTTTGCTCCACCTTCTTTGTCAACGCCTTGTATGCCAACACCTGCAACAGTGCTCACGATCTCTAATTCTAGGTCAATCTATATGAAACAAAATTATACAAACTGAATGTACAACAGCAAGCTGAGTCAATACAGATAACCTGAGCTAAACGTTAAAAACAGAGGATCTTTGCTGACAAAGAGAAACCAAATCCCAACAAATTTCAGGTATTTCTTTACATAGGGAAAAAAAAAAGAATGCTTCAATTTCTCTTCCAACTGCACAAAAATGGCACTGATCTGTCAAGTTTTGGTCAGAACCTCTGGAAAAAAAAGTACAAAAATTTTCCAGAGAAGCGTTCAGATGGACAGTAGATGTGGATGTTTCATTTTAAATCAGTTCTAATGGAATGTGCTACAAAAACTCAAATACTGTAACAGTACCTCACATCTCTATATATGATAATCTGTCCAAAGTAACTTATTTTTGCAATTTATTTCACTAGCAAGTCTTACAAATAACTCATGTCCTGGAGGAAAAAATACTTTTATTTCATTTCTGCCCTCTAAATGCCTTTCTCTTTCCCTCCCTTTTTGTTTATTTTCTAAGTCACTTCCAATACCTCTCATGAATTTATTGTGACGATTATGTAAAAAAGTAGTCTTGCATGCATAGCATCTTATAATTTTTGCAACAATAAATGCCTCCCTTTTGCATAGCCTGTGTCCTGCATAAGCAGTTCAAAGCATGTACCTGTAGCTGTTATATTACCTTAATTCTTTAATCCTGGAATATCCTGATGGCATGTTTAGATGAAAGGCAACAGTTAATTACCACGAAAAATGCTGAAGCAGTATGACCCAAATCTTCAGCTGTCCTTGTGCTATCTTTGTTACCCACACCACTTAATTATCTGTGGTCTCCAGGCTACCGTGATGAATATCAGTAAGATGAGGACTCTGGAACAAACTACTGTTTTTTCCTTAACACTGCTTCCTTATCAATAGGGCACCTTAGTCCTTTCCAGAACAACGCTTGGGAGCAAACTAGAATGTAAGCAATGCAGAGAGTTTGTAGACTAGGGCTTTAAAGTGAGATACAAAGAGCCAATTTAACAGTATGAAGGCGCCCCAAATTAAGTCAGCATGTACCTCCTCTGATAATGAATCAGACACCCAGACAAGCAAATTTAAGATCCAACTACAATTTATACTGACTAATGTTCCCATGTGCCAAAACCTTGTGTTTAATTCGAAAATTCACATGGAGACTACTCTCAAATTAAACCAGTCACCTGTCATTTGTAAACGCTAACAGCTAAGTAACAAGTTTAGAAATCCATTGAACCATAAAAGAACAGTAACTTTAGATAATTGGAAATGAAGTAAAAACAATTTCTGCTTCCAATCTGCTTCTAATACTAAGAAAAGATGTGTCTCACAACAAGAAAGCAAGAAATACTAGTTTTTTTTTTTTTTTAAAAGCTACGTTAGAACAAGTAGTGCATATCATCTCCATTTGAAAGGATGTATAAGTATATGTAGCTCTTTAAAAGACAAAGTGCACTACAGTATTTACTTATAAGATATTAGGCCAAAAGTAAAATAATTCATTTGGTGTAAATTTTCACTTGTGTAGGTGGGACAAGCTCTAATAGATCAAATTTTGAATTGTCTTACGGAAAAATTACCTTTCTAATTAGATGATTTTCTGTATCAGCTACATAAATAACATTATTCTTTATAGCGATCCCTTGAGGTGAGTTGAAAGCTGCCTCCGAAAATCTTCCGTCTTTTCTTCCGCTGTTGGGACCTATCAATGAAACAAAGCAAACTCATTTTAATCACTGTGCTTTGTGACAACAATGACCACAATCAGGTGCTATTACATTTTCCCCTCTTTCTACCTATGTTCTCTGCATCTTTGGCTTATTCTCTAAAGAAAGGTCTTAATAAGGGTCTAAATTGCTCCTGTTTCACTGCATTAAGAGAGAACAGCAATAATAGCAGGTAAGAAACTTGGTCTTTTTATTCCTGATCGCTGCAAGCCAGCAGCAAAGATTTTAAATTCCAAAACTTTATTTCATTTCATTGATTTAGGTTTTGGTGTAAATTACAAATGAAACTAATACTCAGCAGCATTTTCTCATGAATAATAATTAGCAAAAAGATGACATGGACTAATTACATGAAAGAACAGTGAAAATGATGGAGTGGCAGGCTTCTGCATAGCATAATCAAGAGAGAGAGAGGAAACATGACCTGAATGAAACAGTATGAAGGTAAGGATCATATTTTAGAGGGAGTAACATTTAAAGTGCATTAGCAGTATCTGTCAACAGAAGACATTTAGATACATGAGTTGTTATGTTTGCATCATGATTTATGACACATAGTAATTTCAACCTTTGTGTATTCCCACATTTATTACTGTATGATCAGCTTCATTACATTATTTTCTGCCCACAGACTCATTTAACTGAGTCACTAAAATACACAGCTTCCACAACTAACTGTCAGAAGACAGCTTAGACATTATTAAACAGGAAGCGCAGGGGTGCTACTGTGTCACATTCCACTAGTTCCCCTTGGTAAGCTCCAGGGTGCAAATTCCTACGGAAGAGCACAGAGGGCCACAGGTGGTATCAGCTCAGAGGTTAGGACACTTCCCTCTGAGTTGCTATTTAATGAATATCCCAGAATACAAAAGCGTACCCTGTTGACAGAGAGCGCATCTGACAGATCAAACAGAAACCAGATTCCTTGAGTTTCATCATAAAAAAACCCATCTGTAATTTCCTTATGGAAGGGCATTAAGACTGACGCCTTTATCAGGTTAACTTGAATAATTAGTCTGTCTTTTCAATGTAGTATTGCTTCAAAGAATGAGAAATTCTCCTCCTTGCTTAAACAGCAATGCCACTGGTACTTTATTATAAAGCTGGTACTATTCCCACCACAGCTCAGGCATTAGTCAATACTAGATTAAGTAATATACCCCACGTCACATACAGGTCTTGATTCGGAGACACGAATGAACCATTGTTTCAATGGTTTGAGGATACAAACCTTTCCTAAATCTGTCTATAACGGCTGCTTGTAAATGGACTGTCCTAGCAGCTATGTACCTGGTACATCAAGCTGTACTTTTGATCAGCGTACTAGATAAAAAAAGAATAATTCTGAATGTTTCATTTATGAAAGAATAAGACATACAAAAAGTGGGCAAGTTCAACTGAATTTTCTTGATTTGCATTGTAGAGCAGATAGCAATTTATGACAACAAAGAGATACTAGATTTTTAAAGCAGAAATGTTATTAATAAAAGGCTTGTAACAAAAGTAAATTTAAAATACTTAACTTCTCTATTTTGATCACTTGTTTACATGTTCAACTTGAATTTTCATGAGAACACAGGCCTTCTCATAAATGTTTAGGCAACTTCATTTTCAAGTGCCTATGCATTAGTACACTGCCACTGTTCTAAAAAATAATTCTCCCCTCCTCGCAAAATCAAACAAGGATCCTACAAAGAGATGCTTGTGATTTAAAAAACAAAACAAAACAAAACAAAACATCTTCTACTGGGAAGAGAGGCATTATTATCTCTTTTCCCTCCCTTGCTACTGGTAGGTATGTGGTAGGATGTACATCGCTTAAATCTAAACCCATGTGCAACTCTTACGTAAGAATACAGAATATGCCATTTGTGCTTCATGTTGGACACAACATAAAAAATACTACTTAGTCAATAAAACAAAGAAAAAAACAGTAGACATCTCAACCAGATGCATTAACAGAGCACTCCTACTGATGGTACTGTACTATATCCCCCCAATATCCACTGAAAGTGATTCTAGAAATTTTTTTTCCTACCAATACACATAAGCTGCTAGATACTCTAAGAAAAGTCAGTATAAGAAAAGCTCTAAGAAGAGAATCAGCCTAGTAGCCCCAGAGAATGTATTCTACTCATAAAATAAAATTACTGTAAGAAATTTGCATAACCTTACCTCCAATAGTGTGTAGAATTTGACCATTTTTCCGGGTAACCAAAATCCTGTGATGTCCAGTGTCTGCTATTACCAACCTTTCTCCTGAATTATCTACGGTCACTTTCCCAGGAAATAGCAAGGGAGAAGGTGGGAGCAAGTCTCTGTACAGCTTTATTCCAATTCTGTTATCTTTGATTTGTCCTTTCTCTTTGTAGAACTTCAGGGTTATAGAAGTAAATAAAAACAACTTCTCTTTGTGTCCCTCTCCAACAAGTGAAAACAGCATGTTTCCACGAGGCCCAAGAATGACAAGAGTTGGCCAGCAGGACACTTCTAGTTCATGCCAAAGTGTTGCATCTGCATCATTCACTACAGGGTGGGTAATATTATATCTCAGAACTGCACTTTTAATGTTTTCCAGAACTTTTTCATTTGGGAATTTCGCTGAATGGACACTGATAATAACAAGACCATCTGAAAGGAAAAGTAAAGTTTTGCATTGAAACATATTTGTATCTGAATTTAATAAAAAAGTAAAAACGAAGCACAGTTATCTCACAGCATGACTTACTGCATTCCATAACGACAGAGAATTTGAACAAATAAAAAAAGATAACATCTCAATAGGAATATAGCTATATACACAAAATACTGAAACTCAGAAATAATTTGTCGGTAAAATTACTTAACTTGAGTACCATCACTTCCCCAGCTGGCTGACACTTAATATGGCATAAATTTTTTTGAATTCATGAACCTCAACATATAAAGGCAGAAAACACTTTCAAAATAATTATGGGTAAGCTGTAGCAGTTCGCCTGACACCTTATTTTTTCAAGTGTTTACCACAGCTCTTTGTCTTTTGATTCCCCAACACAATTATCCTGTTTTAGAAAATGAATTATTTTCCACTGCTAACTAGAAGTCACAAGCATAACACTGAACCCTGAAAGTCCAGAGTTATCCTGGAATATCTAACTCTAGATAAATAGTGACAAAATGTATAGGCTTCTGAAATCAGTTCTGTGTTCTGTATTTCAACTAAACTGGCAGCACTGAAAACCATGGCAAATAGTGCTTGTGACAAATGAGGCTTGAAACCTCTTTTCGTTTCTTTTTTCTTTTCTTTTTTTTTTAAGACAGGATTAATCATGGATTTTTGCGCCTCCTCTTCACACGTTTAACCTAATTTCTGTATTTGGCCTCTAAAGACTATGAAGGGTTTAAGTTTTCCATAATAAGGATAACTTCACTTGAGATCCTAATACGAAAGGTGTTGCACAAAAATAAAGTATTATAATTCAAGTCACATACTTTGCATATGTGGCACCAACCCTGAAATCCATCAAAAGCACACAAGGAAGCAATCAGCTTCTCTGAATTGCTTATTTTCTCATTTTCATGAAATCAAGCATGGAGACAAAAATCTATGGCTCAGGCTTCAGCTGTTTTTATTTGTGCGATAAAAGCAAATTTACTTACTTCTACCACATGTAGACATTACGGAAGCAGCCCCAACTTTTCCATTCTCCCTACCTACCCAACAGAAAAAGAACGAAGAGCCTTCCTTCAGTCAAGTCACTTTTCAATACTTTCTAGGAGCAAAAGAAAAACTACACCATTTTTTAGGGTTTTAAGTTACGTTTTACTAGCAAAATCTCTGCCAAATGAAGCAAGCAGTGTACAATACATCAATATTATAATTCTTTGTCTCACTTCATATTTAGAGAATATTATAAGCATAAACGTAATCTTTTCATAGCCAAAGTAACTTGTGAATTCTGTGATGATTTTTTTAAACTTTGAAGCTCTCAGTAACACTAGTAACAAGTTCTGGAACACAGCCATTTACAGAGTCTGCTGCTCACAGCCATCACGATAGAAGAAGGCATTTAAGATTTTTCCTAACCCAAGTAAAAAAAGTTACAACAGTAACCGTGCAGCTGTAGAAAGCTGCAATACAATACTTTTAACCAAAACTGTTAATCTAATGGAAATCCTTAGAAGTTAACCTTACTACTTATCAAAAAAATCACTCATGTTTCTGGATAGCACTAGCTAGCATTTTGGAACCACAATAACATCTGGGATCTTTACACTTCTTTAGGCAAGTGAAAGTTTTAAATTTTCATCTTTTGTGTCATTCTGAGGAGAGGAGTGAAATTAAATGGGAAAGGAGAATATTTTTACAGTTCATACCCATCCCAGTTAATTTTACGTTAGTATTTGAAAATATTTTGATAACAGAAAAAATGAACGTACTTTTTTCACCATAGCCAGGTCTATAAAAATATCTGGCATTTATAAACTCTTTTATCAGTAGCATTCAAATATTTGTAGGATTTTCTTCCTTCCTCCAGTCACCAACGCCTGCAGGTGGATTGCTTGTAGTAGTACAACCAGCAACTATTCCAAAAGCAAAGAAAGCCAAGGAGTCACTACAAGTTGGTGTGGGGGAAGAAGAAATCTTATTCAATCTAATCCAATTCTGATAACGCTTCTACTTTGGAACACCACCAGTGTAGACCTCTGAAGAACTTTATAAGGCTTGGCAAAATCAAATTCCTAAACCGCACTAATTTGTGCTCATACAAATACTTAAAATTGCTGTACTGTGTTACTATAAGCAAGTCAGACTTTTTTGGGCCTTGGTTCAGGCCTTCTCTGGTCAGAGGGCTGGTCTCACAATCAGAGGAGTTTGCTGTTTAAAGAGCAGTGAGACCAGCCCTCTGACCAGAGAAGGCCTGAACCAAGGCCCCCAAAAGACACCTGTAAACAACTACAGCCAAGGGCATGGTTCTGAATTGAAGACAGTACTAATTTTAATGCTGTTCTCTTCTCTTTATGGTAGAGGTTGAGTCTGCTTAGCTAGACATCTTTGTGTTACCCTCTATCCTCTGAATAATTTGCTCTTCCCAGACAGAAGTTTGACAGCTCTACTATCATTACTGACTGCTATCTGTTGTTTAACCCTTTTTATTTATTTATTTTTAAATATTACTCAATTCCATAGCTCCACCTGCTTTTGATCAAGCAGGCCCTTAGATTTAACCAAGTAAAATCACTTCCATTCACTCTTTCAGCAAATAGTTAAAAATCAGTCAGCAATGCCATATTATGCCAACACTGAATTTGACTAATTTATTCTAAAACGGAGGTTTTTCTTCTCAAATTCATGATCCTTGATTTTCCTAGCACATAAAGAATGCTTCCTGTTATACAAACGCATTCCTGTTCAGAAATCTTTGACTCGTTTACCTGCAGCTACCAACTACATTTGGGTCTTTGCTAAACCCTGCCACTGTTTTTTCTACAGCATTTCAAATTCCTCAAGGCCCGACTGCCAAAACAGTAATCCAAGTTGAACAGGTTTGAATTTAAGACCGCAGCCTCTTTTTCTTCAGGCTGCTCTTCTTCAGACTACCTAAAAGCACAGCTGCAAATACCTTCCTTTCCTGCTGCTCGGCAGAACTTTTTTTTCTTTTTTTTAAATAAACTGTGCATGTAAAAACATGCAACCCAATATAGTTAAAGCTTCTTCTCCTCACACTTAAAAAATCTCTACAATTCAGTTGTTACTAAATCCTTACATCTCCTTACAGCTTTGCTATCTAAGCTGCCATCCCAACAGTTTTCTTTCTAATCCTAACAGCATGCTTTCTTCTTTGCTGTTCCAAACTGCTGGTATTCTGGGAACATACATTCAATTTCTCTATTTTGCAATGCAAAAATCCAGCTCCACTTATGAAAGCATTCCCACCGTGAACAACTGTACTGCTGTCTCTAGTGCCTTCACAGTACTTTTAAAAGTTTCGAAGCTTAAACGTATAGTTACTTAATACAGATTATCGACTAACCCCATAGCACCACATACAATTAAGATGACCAAAAAAAGACAGAAAAATGTAGCTGCTCTCTTTTTTACTGTATTATTCAATATAAAACCAAAGCATAAATACTCCCTTCTTCCAAAAAGAGACTCAGTGTTCCAAAATACAATATGGTTGTCTGATACCTATTCAAGGAAAGAAATTTTCTGCTGTAATGCACATGGTATTGCTAGCATTTGATGAGTTATCTCTATAATAACGGAGGGTTGCCAGAGTCATTATTGTTTTAGCAGCAAAATTCATATTTTGTTTTTTATTTTAAGTAATCTACTTTGTTGGTTTTGTGGTAGAAATTTAAGAAAGGCAGTTATTTCAGGTCTTACATAGTTGTATTATTTCAGCGCAGAGGAGTTTCTTTCCTTCTAAAAATCTAATTCAGTCTCAGGTTGACTTTTTCTTTGGTTACAGAGAAATGGAAAACTACTTTTCTCTTCTAGCCCTTCTCCTCCCTCAACCATAACACAGTGTTAATGGAGAAGTATAACATCTGCAGGAATGGCAATATTTCAATATGAGAACAGGAAAGGATACAGAGCTGCACAGCAGGAGAATGATGAAACTTAGTGGAATAAAACAGGTTCATGATTATAAAATCCCTATAACTGATACAGTCTTTGTTAATCCCACAGGCACAGCATGTTGCAATATTAGATAGTTGAAGTCATAATATCATAAACTGTTGAACTCCAGAAGCATGTCAAACATTTCCACTATAATAGTGTCAGCAGCAGTGCTTACACTTGTCCTTCCAAAATATCAACAAAGTTAGAAGAATTCTATTCTCGACACCTGTACAGCACAAATAGGATAAAATACCATCTCATGAGGAAAGCTCTTGCAGGAACTCACAAATATTACATTAGGCTATATAAGCATGCACACCATTTAAAACACTTTATTTGCAGGATTATACCAGAGCATAACACTGGACTTCTGCCAAGCTATTTCTGAATATATAAAAAGTACTCCCTCTTATAGAAGTCATTTCTGGACTGCTGATAACGTGAACTGAATTTGCACTGGAGTTTAAAATAACTTTCTGAATGCCACTTTGAAAACAAAAATAGCACCACTGAAGATAGCAGCAAGAGCATATCAGATAAAGATGCTGAGCAGCCATTTAATTCTATGGAAAGTAGTCTTTGAGACAAATCTATTCAAGTCCCAGACAATAAAAATGTGTGCATATGCACAAAGACAGATTTGATGGTTATCCTAAAACAACAGCTTCTTGTGTTTGCACATCTCATGTCTGATTATCGCATTGCTGACGTTCCAACATACTCCTGCGTAAGAGGGTACTTACACCATGTGAACAATAAAAACAGTATCAGAATATCAAAAGTTTCTGTACTTGGTGTACAATCAAAGAAAAAGACAGTGCTATGAATTTTATCTATACTGAAATGCGTCCTCAGCTAAGCAGAAAGATATAGGAAACACTCCTTCAGATATTCCAACAACAGATTAAAGATCTAAATGTACTTTGAGATAGATGCTCTAGCAGGATAATATGATTGTTTTCATTCTGAGTAATATTGTCTGCTAGGTCAGCACCCTCTATGACTTCCATTGCACTGTAAACACGTAGATCAAATGTGCAAATACGTCCCATATTTATACTCCTAAAGTTTGGTACAGCTGCAGTTTCACTATCTATTCAACATGACATGCTGCTCTCAAAAGAAGTGACCTTGCCATTTGATTTCATCAAAATTAGCATTTCTACAATCATAAGGTGGTACAGATTGGAGAGCTCATCCAGCCAAAAGTCAAGCTGGCCCTCCCTGCCCCAAGGCAGAAGTGACTTCCCTTAACTAAAGAGAGCAGATTGAAATGGGCTGAAACTCCAGCACAAGGCACTGAACACCAAGATATTTGCATTAATATATCTTGAAATTCTTTTTTTTTTTTTGATATGTCAGACATCCTTTCTTCTTTAACCTTACTCCTCAGACCTTTAATTTTCTCAGCTTTCTCAAGCCGACTCTCCTCTCCTCTTTTGCCTGGTGACTGATAAGTAATATTCTCACTTCAGTGACGAAGAAGCACATTGACATAAAACTCTCTACTGAAGTTTTTGTCTACAGCCTAAAAAAACTCAACCTTTATTGCCTCGATATATGTATACATGCATATATCTATATATAGCTTTATACTAGCGTGATGCTAGAATTCAAATAGTTAACATTTAATTTAATAATCCAGCAAAAGGTTCACAATCTACACATGAAAACAACAGAAAAGAACTAAAAGGGAAAACTATAGCTAAAAAAATTTTATTTTTCTTTTTCGTTTGAACCATACGAACATATTAATCTCTTCCTGAATCCACCTGCTAGCCTGTTTCCTACCACATCAAATTTAAGATTAACATCTCACACACCTGCTCTCATTTCCTTCTCCCTCCATCTACATTTTCCACTTTCATCCCAAATATCTTTTTTCTATCTTCAGTTCCTGCAGGGAACAATAGGATATCTCAAATACAAAAACGATGAATCATCTATCAGCAAAGTATTCTCCTCAAGTAATAACTCCTATGACAGGAAGCTTAATAGAATTCAAATGAAAATAAAAACATGTCTCCACTGGACTATGAATTCAGTTCAAAGTGCTACAGCCTTTTCTACACTGAAATAGAGATGTTCAAGTATTTTAAAGAGTAAGTTTGTAAGGAGAGGCTGTTAACAACCAATGTTTGGTTAGCAATTGTTTTAATAATTTGGTCTTAAAAAAGAGATGAAAGATATGCGAGACATATGGGTATTACAGAATACAGTAACACTATAGTACAAAATGTTTATCATTTAAGACATTATTCATTGTATAATTGGTGTAATCTTTTGAAATCTCAATTTAGACCTTCTTCCTAGCATATCTGATGTTCAGAGTAGCCCAAATTTATAACTCAGCTACCTCCCCACTTAAAACAGCTTCCCTCCCCACAAAAATGCTAGACAGTTTTTTTCATTAGATGAATAAAGTTCCTTATATCTGAAACCATCACAGCAGATCTCAAATTAATCTGAAGCAAAAAGCTAAGTTTTTCAGTGCAGAAAAATCAGTCTAGTTAAGTGTTCTGTAAAGCACTGTGCAAATTTACAACATACAGTGGAATTTCTTACAGAAAAATGTAATTTCTTTTTCCAGTGAAAGCAGGCAATACATGAAAATAAATGCTGGCAAAATGAAAATCAATCAGAAAGGCTAACGGAGAATCAAAATCTTATTAAGCATTATAAAGTAATGTTATTTTACTATTATATTTAATACAAATATTTGAGGACTGAAAGTGATATTGTTTTACATCTCAGCGTTAAAACTTAAAATATCCTTGGTAAGTTAGTGGCTGCTGCAACACTGCGTAAGAATAAAGCTTACCTCTGCCTCTTGTCATCATGATGACAAGAGATTAAATTCTAAATAGTAACTGTCCTGCATTTTTATTCAATCAGAGAGAGATGGAGATTTTTTCACAGACCTGCATTTAATGTGCTTTAATCTCTCTCCAGAGCAAAGAGAACCACTCATGGAAAATAAGGTGATGCTGCAGGAAATACCAAAACAATCCCAAGTCAAGTTTACATGTTTTGATTTTTCAGTTAGAACAGGGTCGGGGGGAAGGTAATCTTATCTACATCCGTTCTACCGCTTGTTCTATGTCCTACTCAAGAGTTGGTTCCTAAGTCAAATCCAGAGGGTTACATACAAATGTTAATTTCGAGCCCCTATCTTACATCCTTGTGCAGCATTTTTCAAATAGCTGTATTTATGAGAAGATCAGGTTTGGGCTTTAAGTACACCTCCCGTTTCTTTAATTACACAGACACAATAGCTACCATATCTAACCCCATTTGAAAGTGTGATGGGATTACAAACAGTCACCTTTACTAGGTTACGTAAAAGATTAGAAGACACTTTTAGGCACCCCTGAAATTTTGCCAGCTTTTAGTAATGAGCAACAAAATGACTCAGCTACTCCACCTGCAACACTGCCAGGAAATTCTGTTCTAAGCAAGCCAAAGCACTTTTACCTTTATCAGAGTACTGGTGCTCTAAGGCATGGAGATCAGGCAGCAAGTGCAAACAATTGATGCAGCAGTAAGTAAAAAAATCCAACACCACCACTTTTCCACAAAGGTCTTTGTGAAGAGAAATAGGACTTTCAGTGTTTAGCCACTGTAAATCTGGAATTCAGAGAAAAGAGGTATCCAAATTAGGGAGGAGGGGTAGGCAAAGGCATTCCTTTATACTTAACTTCCACAAAAACAGACAACATTCCTAGTACAGTTCACTTCAAAAATGTTCTGTATCACTTTCTGTCCGGATAGGAAGGCAAACCAAAAGTCTTACATTTATCAAACTCACCCTTATGCTCCACATTTTTCATAATTAGCAAATAAAATGTATTAATTATTAAGTAATATTAAGAAAAATTATTAAGTTAACAGGATTTCATGTAATATTGAAAGTGCAGATTATATATTTAAATAGGTGCCTTTTAACGGAAAGCACATGCAGGCCTTAGAACAATTTTCATCTATTGTAAAGCATGATCTAGATTATCCAACCCCTAAGAAGATCATATGGGTAATACTTATTTATTTTGAATTCAACAAGTACATGCTTGTAAGCAGATAAAAACCTGCTAAACTCTTAGAGTTTACATTTTTGTAAAGAAGTAATATCGGAGACTACTGAAATATTTCTGTATTTATCGTTTTGATATTGAGTTTGAGAAGTTTGAAATGATAGGTATAAATTAATGACGTTATATGCTGATTTCCAAGAACTAAAACTCTTTCAGATATACCTGAAATACTATACTACTTCTGCTCATTTATTTTCAAACACTCGATAAGAGACATTAAGGCAGTGTTTTCTCATTTTATGCACGTACACACAAAGAGGCAACTAATAATCCTCTGATCCCATAGGAAACTGATATCAAGGTAGGAAATAAAAAACCTACAATATGTTTGGCCCTTATTATCACCGAACATTTCTTAAAATAATGGGAAAAATACAAATTTTTAAAGGACTACTTTTAAAAAAATGTACACGCGTGCTTTGATAACCTAAAAATATCCAAAAATTCCACAGTTTCAGCAAACTATGTTTTTATTTCCCACATCCCCAGAACAAGTTACTGCTACTCAAGTCAGCAGGAGGATTGTTTTCTGCTTCACTAAGAGAAGGGCTACTCACTACTTACACACATATAAACATAAATGGATGAACACACAGTCATTGTTTTGGCGACAATAATAAGACTTAGTAAACCCTTAGTAAAACCCTGCCTGTACACTGAGGAAATCATGCATAAACTTCATAAATGTTTCCTTTTTAAAAGAGTATGTTATTTATTTATTTAATGGTACTGCTCCCTTTTTCACTAAAGCATCTTATATCAAAATATGCTGTAAATGAAAAATGTTTACTATTTATTTGAGCTGCTTTTCAGAAGAGAACATTAGCTTTGAAAGACTATAAAAGGTGAAATGACACTAACACAAAAGTGAAAGTTCAATTCAGGAATCCAAATGCAGAGAGAAAGAGTATTCACTTTACTTGATGGGTTAGAAATCAGAATTCAGTCCCATGATACGTATGTGATTTTAACCCTGACATTTATCTTTTTAGGTCTTCATCTTGCAAACTCCTTTCATGAGCTCTCATAGTTCCAGAGTGTCTCATGAGGTGACCAGGACTCCGAGCAGGACTTACAAGATCTTACAAGACTTAACCCTTGATTCATGCTGAGTGTAAAAAGAGATATAGAAATGTGTGAAATGTGCGAAAGGGAAATGGACACACCACTGAATGAGCATGAAACCTCCTGCATAGTTTGTATTTTCAGAAACATGAAAATTGACAAGTGCAGGTAAGTCGCGGGGAGAGAGCTGGGAAACAAGGGGCTGCAGTGAAACCAACAGAGCTCAAGAGGAAGCTGACAGAACGAGTAAGGTGAGACCACTGACTGGCCGAGGGCAGATATCAATATATTGCAGAGAAATGTTTTATTAAAAACAGTTAAATACTGAAGCTACGTATCAGAAGTTTAGGAGAGAAATTTTAAAGAATATATTTTTACAAACACTAACAAAGCGTTTACAGAGGAATTCTTTGCACTTGTCTTTTCCTGATGATACTTTCTGGAGTCATATTTCTCGCAGCTAAGACGAATACTTTCTTTTTCGGAAAAAAAAAAAAAAAGACAGATAGCGAGGCCTTAAACTAACGGGGCTGTAATTACACACCCCCTCGGGCAGCAGGGCTTCAAGGAAGACACCACACCCCGGAGGGCGGGAGCCAGGGCTCGGCCCCGGCGGCCGGGGGGCCCCGCG